TACATTGTCAGCCTGCAGGTGGCGCTGCTTGGAGTGTGTGTACATTGTCAGCCTGCAGGTGGCGCTGCTTGGAGTGTGTATACATTGTCAGCCTGCAGGTGGCGCTGCTTGGAGTGTGTATACATTGTCAGCCTGCAGGTGGCGCTGCTTGGAGTGTGTGTACATTGTCAGCCTGTGGATGGCGCTGTTCTGACCCCGTCTCTCTCTTTTTAGGGCTGCATCGTCCTCAGTCACACGGCTGCATGGAGGACGGTGTTCTTCGCGGAGTCGTTCGGCCTGCGTTACCTGCGGGAGGAGGCGAAGAAGCTCCTCGGTATCCTCTATGACTATGAGATCGAGGTGAACCCCGTCATGTTTCACGTCTTCAGCAACGGCGGCTTCATGCTGTACCGCTACATGACCGAGCTGCTGCACTCCGACCCCAAGATGAGGCAGCTGCATGTGGTGGGCACCACCTTCGACAGCGCGCCAGGAAACCGCAACGTCTACGGCTCGGTGCAGGCGCTGAACGCCATCCTGAGACCCGGCACCGCCTGGCCCCTGAGGTTCCCGCTCCTGGCGGCCTTCGCCATCATGGTCTTCCTCCTCCGGATCGTCCTTTACCCGCTGACCCGCTTCCTGCACGAGAATCACTACGACGCCATGAAGCGGGACCCGTCCCTGTGGCCGCAGCTTTACCTCTACTCCCGCGCCGACCGCATCGTCTCCCACAAGGACGTGGAGGGCATGGTGACCGCGCGCCGCCAGCGTCACCTCCCCACCGAGAGCCTGGACTTCCAGAAGTCCGAACACGTCAGCCATTACCGCCGCTACCCGGAGAAGTATTCCCACACGTGCGTCGCCTTCCTGGCGGACTGCGTCAACAGGGCCGCCAAGTCCTCCTTCATGAGCGGCAATCCCTCGTTTTAAAGGCCTCGCTTTATTGGCTGGAGGAAGATTCCGGGGGGAGGAGCGGGACACCACACTTCCTGTCCCCGCGGTGTCACCCTCATTCTCTATGCACAAGACCCGATTCCCTTCCCTTTGATTTCTCTCCATGTGGTTTGGGGGGAGGGGTCAGTTTTAGGGTTCAGTCAGTGAAGAATGTTAAGTGGGGGGGTATCAGGATCTGGAGCAGTCGCCCATGGCAACCAATCAACGCCTCAGGAACAGTTTGGTTAGTTAGGAGAGAAGCTGATTGGTTGCCGTGCACAACCGCTCAGTCCCGAGTTCCCTCCTAAGACAGTCAGAAGGTCCACGCCTAATCTGTAGCTGCAGGTATGCCTTGGAAGGTGTCGCCCTCCTCAGCAGATTGATGGGGGATGCAGCAGAAGGAGTGAGACTGCACTGGAAGGGACCTGCAGTGTAAAGAAGCTTATAAATGAGAGTTATGATGTGTATAATGTCTGCATGGAGTCAGTATCATGTCTGCCTGGAGTGTGTACGGAGCCTCCAGGCTGCCAACCTTCCCTTTTAATATGAGTGGCAGGAAGCTGGGAAAAGGGCCTTTTGGTCCTCTGACATATACCTGTGGATGTTACCTGCAGTTCACAGGGGTTTGCTGGGACTTGTAGTCCCCCCTCATGGGTACAGCAGAGCCTGTAGCGGCTTCTATATACATTCCAATTATTTCAATGACTGAGGTGTACACAGCGCCACCTGTTGGCTGTAGGTGGTGGTGGTGATGACTCATGAGCTCCCTCTGTTGGTTGCAGCCAGAATAGTCGGTGATATACCAGCGCCATCTAGTGGTTGTATCTGAACAAGTCAGCGTCTTCCTGCGGAGATTTCAGTGTTACCTGAGCGCCATCTAGTGGTTGTAAGTCTGTAGTGCAGCCACAATCAGTATCCTCAGTGCTACACCAGCGCCATCTTTTGGTTGCAAGTCTGTATTGCAGCTCCCTGCATTATTCTCAGTGCTACACCAGCGCCATCTATTGGTTGCAGGTCTGTATTGCATTATTCTCAGTGCTACACCAGCGCCATCTATTGGTTGCAGGTCTGTATTGCATTATTCTCAGTGCTACACCAGCGCCATCTATTGGTTGCAGGTCTGTATTGCATTATTCTCAGTGCTACACCAGCGCCATCTATTGGTTGCAGGTCTGTATTGCATTATTCTCAGTGCTGCACCAGCGCCATCTGTTGGTTTTAAGTCTATATTGCAGCCCACTATGCTATTCTCAGTGCTACACCAGCGCCCTCTAGTGGTTTTAAGTCTATTGCAGCCGCCTGTAGTATTTTCACTGCTACACCAGCGCCCTCTAGTGGTTTTAAGTCTATTGCAGCCGCCTGTAGTATTCTCACTGCTACACCAGCGCCCTCTAGTGGTTTTAAGTCTATTGCAGCCCCCTGTAGTATTCTCACTGCTACACCAGCGCCCTCTAGTGGTTTTAAGTCTGTATTGCAGCCCCCTGTAGTATTCTCACTGCTACACCAGCGCCCTCTAGTGATTTTGTCTGTATTGCAGCCCCCTGTAGTATTCTCACTGCTACACCAGCGCCCTCTGGTGGTTTTAAGTCAGTATTGCAGCCCCCTGTAGTATTCTGTGCTACACCATCGCCCTCTAGTGGTTGCAAGTCTGTATTGCGGCTCCCTGTAGTATCTTTTGTAGCAAAACCAGCACCGGCTGGTTTTGTAGCACGGGGCACGGTTCTGTCTGCACTGGGTCCTATTCCTCGGTATATCACCCCTTGACACTCAGACACTGACTGTAGCCGAATGCTATACGTGGTCCTGACTCCAGTTTCTCCTCTCATCTAAAGAGACCCCATCGCACCACCCCTCCCCCCCCATGGTCCACTTATACTC